ACCCCAAAATAGTAGGATCCTTACTACAAGGAGCCCAGAACAAGGTACCCCTTATTTTCGGAAACCCCTTGCAACAACACCCAGGTAGGAATGGGTTGGACTACATGGTGGGCTTCCTATGGCACTCCCTTAAACCCTAAACCCTAAACCCTAGACCCTAGACCCTAAACCCTAAGCCCTAAACCCTAGACCCTAGACCCTAGACCCTAGACCCCAAACCCTAAACCCTATCCCGAGAATCAGACCCTTGTGGGATTTTTTCACACGGAGCTTGAGCTGCTTCTATCGCTGGGTTAGGGTTTAGGGTTTAGGGTTTAAGGTTTAGGGTTTAGGGGTTAGGGATTAGGTAGATGCCAGACTATACGAAGTGGTTTACTAAAGGTTTCAAGGGTGAAGCGTTTCGAGTCAAGAGTTCCGAGGTGGTGGCAAGAAAGCCAGGGGTAGCAAGCCCATGTTTTGCAGTCGGCTCAAACGACCCTATGAGGGACAAAGCTTCATGGAAGTCTTATGCACTTGCTGCAGTCTTCCAAACATTACGCAGCACGCAACATCACCTGAGCAGCTGCACCACGGCATTTGCGCTGGAGGCGCGGCTTGTCGCGAGAGCTTTGCGTGCCCGCACTGCGACCGGCTCTGCGAAGGATCGGCCGGGGTTCAAGATTCGCGCCCCCTTTAGGCCCTTCTGCACGTCGTACCTTCAATGGAGAGCAGAACGGTCGCCAGGACATGGCGCCGGAACTTCCCAACTCTTCTCCCCCCTGCATAAGTGATCTGTGCCACTCCTCCGGAGCCCCTGTCCGCTCGGTGCGGATCTGGGGGTTTCCAAAAATAGGGGACCCTAATATAGTACCCTAAATAATGGGTTCCTTATTATAAGGACCCCAAAATAAGGTACCCTAATTTTCGGAAAGTCCCATCTCATGCGAACAGGAATCCACCATTGAAAACACGTGCGCTAGCCTCCGTTGTGTTCTTGCGATCTCCGGTATGGCGAACGCTATCTATGATCCCATCAACCCGAAAATGTTAAAGCACAACAACAGAACCTCCTAACCCCAAAACTTTCAAACCCTATAAAACCATTAAATAAAAAAGTGTAAACCGCTATGAACTAATATTAACGCCCTATGAGAAACTCGACAAAGCTATATTGAAAAACTCTAAACCCTAGAACCAAACGAGGACCCAAGCTCTAGGGTATATTAGGACCTAATGAACTTTTTGGTTATAGTAGGGTTTAGGGTTTAGGGTTTAGGTTTCATCGGCTATGCTAGGGCCCCTACCGTTCCGAAGGATCTGGAAAGTCGGGAGCCCGGCTGTCGATTCATGTCCGTCGCCTCGTTCAGTTGCTGCCGCACATCGGCATCGGCCTCCGAACCCGAAACCCTGGGTTTAGGGTTTAGGGTTTAGGGTCTAGGGTTTAGGGTTTAGGGTTTAGCGTTTAGGGTTTAGGGTTTAGGGTTTAGGGTAATCAATCCTCAACCCTGAACCCTAACCAGATTGACTTGTGGCGAGTTTGTATAGGATCTTGTGAGCTTTCCTGGGGTTTGTAAGGGCTCTATCCGGGTTCTATTAAGGTCCTAGAAGGGGCTAAGGTTTGGAATGGAGAGTTGGGGGTCTCGGATTGTTGGCTTTCGGGGTTGTCGGGCTTCGGGGTGTGAGGTTTGGGGTGGGCTTATATGGGTTTAGGAGTTTAGGGAGTTGTTGGGCTTTTCGTGTAGCCTCGAGGTCACCTGGGGTTTAGTATTCTTGCAATGGGGAATCATGTGATTTTTGTCTGGCTAGACATCGTGAAGGTCACAATGGTTGTCGCAATGAGAACACAGACGAAAATGTTCGTAGTGGACATAACACTCAGCAAGGACGTCTGCCCCTGAACCCTAAGGCCTAAACCAACAAGCCAGACCTATGCAAACAGAGACAACAGAAGAGTCATAGACGCCAGAGCTCTCATCCCTGAGAGAAGCATGGCCCAAGAATTGGATTCCTGTACAAGTTCCTTTTACAGGAACCTACGATGACGTTCAGGGTTACAAAAACGGTGTAGTATAGAGGCCTGCATTGTTAGAATACGGTCTTGATGTGCGCTGTACTATACCAGTAAGTCACACCCTGAACCGCAAACCCAAAACCCTAAACCTTAAACCCGAAACCTGAAACACTCTCTTACTTATATACATCTAAACCTTAATTGCTTAAAAGTTTTTCTGCATTTCCAAGATGTGGCCGCCATTAAAGCATGAAAATTTGCAGAAAAAACACTACGCAGTCACCATTTTGGCTCAAATGGTGACTGCTTAGCGGTGTTTCTACATTTTCGGGTCAGAACCCTTTTTCAAAATGCGAGTGATTTAGTGGTGGCCACATCTTGAAAGAGGCCCCCACCCGAAAATGCAAAAAAAAAGCTGAGCAGTCACCATTTCCAGCTCTACATGGTGACTGCTTGGCGGTTTTTCTGCATTTTCGGGTGGGGGCCTCTTTCAAGATGTGGCCCCTACGAATAGCTAGAGTTTAGGGTTCTAGTGTTTAGGGCTCTAGGGTTTAGGGCTTAGGGTTTTGGGCTCTAGGGCTTAGAGCTCGAGGGTTTAGTCCCTACGGCTTAGCGCTCGGGGTTTAGGCCCTACGGTTTAGGGCCCAGGGTTTAGAATCTTCAGTGGGATATGCTGGTATCACACCATTAAATTAGAGATCTGCAGGTTTGTCTAGTCGTAAGCCACAAATACTATCGAAGCTGTGGCCGCCAAGCGATGGCGTCATTGGTTATAATCAAGTATACAGTATATTGTGTGATGCGACAAACGGATAATAAGGTGTAAACGCACTTAAGGTATTGATCATCATCGTCTTGATTAGTGTCTTAATTTGTGTATTGACTTATTTTGGGAACAAGTGAACTGTAGGTTTTCTTAATGTGAGGGGAATCTGTGGGCGGGTGGGGTGTTTTCTTGACGATACCTTGACAAGAATTTTTCAAGATTAGAGCTGCTGAACCCTAAACCCTAAACCTTAAACCCTACACCTTAAACCCTAAACCCTAAAACTTCAACCCTACACCTTAAACCCTAAACCCTAAAACTTAAACCCTACACCTTGAACCCTAAACCCTAAACCTTAAACCCTACACCTTAAACCCTAAACCCTAAACCTTAAACCCAAAAGCCTCAATCTAGGGAACCCGGACGGTACAAAGAGTCATACGGGAGTTTCAGAAAATTAGGGTACCTTATTTGGGGGGTCCTTATAATAGGGATCCTATTATTTAGGGTACTATATTAGGGTCACCTATTTTCGGAACTCCCCATACAGTTGCTGCTGCATTGTAGAAACAGCGAACCCTCGAAGCCAAACTATTTTCACCTCCCCAATGGACTCCGCAAGCCTACCCAGAAGTGGCCGCAGAAAACTCTTCAACATCTGGCACAAGGCGCGGAAATCGGGCAAGCCTTCACTTTCACGACGCTTTGGCTTCTGGTACCGAATCTGTCTCTTGGCGCTGCCTCCTGCAAGCTTTGGATTTTAGGAACAAGAGAGCTAAACACCATTGTAGTTCCTACATTATTGCTACGACATCTACCCCAAGTACCCTTACATTTGGTAAATGCCCTTACCACGCACCCCAAAATCCGTGTAGTCCCTAAATACTCTTACCACGATATACCGGCAAAACCCTACAAAGAGTACTCAAAGCCCCCTATCAAAAAAAAAACATATAAGCACCCGCCCAGGCGAAGTTGGGGCCTGGGGCTTCGTCTGTCAGGCTTTTTAAAGTTTCGGGCTCAGGGTTTTGGGTTTGGGGTTTGGGGTTTTGGGTCGAGTGCCTACACCCTAAACCCCTAACCCCTTAACCCTACACCCCGATATCCTAAACCCTAAACCCCAAAACCCTAAACCCCTAAACCCTAAACCCTTAAACCCTAAACCCCAAAACCCCTAAACCCCAAACCCCAAAACCCTGAACCCCTAAACCCTAACCAGGGTTTAGGGGTTTAGGGGTTTAGGGTTTAGGGGTTAGTGTTTAGGGGTTTAGG